CTTGATGAGACCTCAAAATGATTTAGATTTTGGACCCCCTAGCGGCTTGTTATGGTACTGCTAGATGAACTTCCGGTTTTGATATCTCATGATCTAGACATGCTATGGTGATGAAATTTAGATGGTAGGTAGCTCTTGTGCTGGGGAAGAAGTGATGTGAGTTTAGGCCCCCTAGCGGCTTGCTCTGGAACTGCAGCGATATATTCTTGAAAATATTCAAAAGGGGATGACTCAAGAACCGGTTGACGGATCGTCGTGATTTTTGGTATGTAGGTAGCTTACGTGATCCTTCATATAATTATGTGACAGCTTGTGACATTAGTAATTGACTAATTTGCATAATTAATAAGAAAATTTTATAATTCTGTAATGATAACTGCCTGGAATTTCATACTTGTGGTATTTGAAAGTTAAATTGAGGTGAACATCATTAAACATAATTTATTCAAATCAGGACCTCATTTGCATAATTTATTAGGAAATGCTAGAATGCATTGTTTGTTAATATAAGACTGTTTTTTTGGTTGAGATTATGATAAAATGATATAATTCATGAAAATTAGGTTCCTATTTCTTAAATCAGGGGGGAATAATCTAATCTATAATTTGTCAGTCATAAAGATTAACATCATTTGGCGAAGGTATGAGATCGGGGAACTCTAGTTGGTTTTGCAATCGCTAACTGAGGGCATTCTTGCAACAGCGGTACAAATGCCATGCGGAATCAATCTGTCCTTTTACGAAGAAGGCTGCCGTAGATCCCTGTCGGTTGTTATTTTTTTTTTTTATTCCAATATGTAATCACCAGACGTGGTGACGGCACACTCAAGTTTCATCAACTTATATTAATGCCGCCATCAACACAGGGGACAAATACATAACAGGACAGTACTCATTTACACCTGAGCGAAGTGAGTTAAATCGTGTAAAGTGCCTTTCCCAAAAAGCAAGGGCACAAGATCGGTGGCATTTCAGGACTCGAACCCGGGACCTCTAGGTTCCGAGTCGCGCACTCTGCCGCTACGCCACACGATCCCACAGTCATATTAATTCTGCCATCGCCTGCTTTAAAATTCGATGACATTAAAATCGTACGATGGCCTAAATGTACGTCGAATGTGACTGTGTGGTTACACCAAATTGTTAGAACACACCTTCACATGTAACACCATCAGTTCCCAGCTGGTAGCCCTTCCGACACGAACACTCCACAGTGCCGGCGCCGTCCGTCGTGCACCAGCCGAGTTCTGAATCACACCCTGGGTTGTCAGCACTGCTGCAGGGACTGACAGCTGCGGTAGAACACCAATTGTTTCAATTAGGCAAAGTCACCTAAGTTTTTTTTTTACTTCATTTTTCTGTATCAGTATTATTTTTTGTATCAGTATCTGAGTGTATAGCCGGTATAACCGCAACTGGGCGTAACACACAACCAATGCACCGAAGGACGAATTACAATTGCACTGAACTATGACCCAAGTAGGCACCCATTGACAAACATAACAGATGCATATAATTGACATTGTTTAGATATTGTGCATGTAAAAAACGTTGTAACAATTGCATTTACTTACGCTCACAATCCTCGCCATCAGCTGCCAACACAAATCCAGTCCGACAAGCACAGTCAAACGCCCCGTCTGTGTTTGTACATTGCTGACTGCAGTTGTTCACGTTCGTGCTACATTCGTCAAAGTCTAATCAAAACATGGCGAACAAAACATCCTTTTAATTTTCACAAACACAAACAAACAAACACACACACACACACACAC